AATATGTGAGGAACAGGAGCAGCCATTATTATTTGAAATTCCTTTTTAGTGACAGTAATAAGCCATTCATTATTTCACATCTGCTAATCTTTAAATAGGAAATGCTGTCCTTATTAATTGTGATCATGTCAGTTTGCATCCCCTAAATGATGGGATTTTTCAGTGAGACCATTTATCGTGGGGATTATCTGATGAACTTTCTGTGCCTGGAAAGTTCATTTAACAGCTCATTTACCATTATAAAAACACTCAGGTGAATCACGCAGTAAATGAATGTCTGGTGTCCCTTTTACACACCTCCAGCTTTATTTCTGCTAATAAGTGATGGTTCATTAGGCCTACAGTTCACGTGCAAAATGAGTCTTTTCAACCTTATTACTTTGTTTGTTATAAGCTAGTAATATACCTTGACATTTGGCAAAATGTGTTATTTTAGCTGATATGCTTTTAAATTTAAATGTAAATCTTTCTTGTTTCACTGCTTTACTCTGGATCAAGAACTTCTCTTTTACAGTTCCATAGTGTTTTGATGCTGATGATGTTGGGCTAGAACAGGCATAAAAAAGGAAGACAAATTGTCTTGTTTTACTAAAGAGTTTGCCATTCAAAATATTGGCCAAATTAACTCATTGTATAAGTCAATTGTCTTCATTGTGATGTTGTTTACCTTAATTCAGTCTCCTTGTGCCTATGCATTATGATACAGTCTTTAATTACATGATCACACACTATTTTTTTTCTCAGGGTCTCTGCCTCATTCAGTGCACAGGATGGACCTGCTCTGGAGATGAATTGGGGTGTGTAGTAAAGGAAGTTTTGTGTAGGATCCCAGCTAGGGTGATCAGATGTCCCGTTTTTAAAGGGACAGTCCCATATTTAAGCCCTCCTGTAGGTGTCCCGACTTTTTCTTAAAAATGGGCAAATTGTCCCGTATTTTCAGTTCCCTTCTCCCCCATCAGTACTGGCGGGTCCTGCTGCTGGCCTGATCCCTGCTCACCAGCTTTCTGCCCATCAGCGGTGTGTGTGGGGGTCCAGTGGCTGACGAGGGGGTGGATGTGCAAGGCTTGTGGCGGGGTGAAGATGCAGTGCGCAGGGCCGGCTGCTCCCCCTGCTGGTCCGTCAGCACAGTCCCCGCTGTGTGCTGCTCTTGGCCTGCAGGGCCCTGCCCCCCATCCCGTTTCCAGCTGGCCCAGCACCCCGGGAAAGCCCAAGACCCCAAGACCTGGGGCCCTGGCCAGGAGGAGCCAAGCCCTGCATGTGCCAAAGCACCGCACAGCACTGGCACGGGGAAGCCTCTCTGCTCCTCAGCTAAGCTCTGGAGTGGCAGGGGGAAGCTTGTTCACACCCTGAACCTGCAGGCTCCACAGCAATCCCTGGGGCAGTGACTTATCACCCTCTTAACACATTCCCACCCCCCCCCCCACACACACACACTGGGTCCTGACCCCAGGGAGCGTGGGGATGCTCCATCCCCTAGGCAATTTCCCCTGCTGAGCCACCTCTCTGACTGGGTTCACTGAAGCCCCTGCAGTCAGGTTCCCTGGGCCCTGGTGCACAATGCATCCTTAGGGCTTAACCCCTTCCTGCCTGTGCTGTAGTTGGGGGACAGGTGGTGGCTGGGTTATGTTGGTGGCCAGCAGCAGCCTGGAGGTGTTAGCTGCCTTTTGACACTGTGTGGACAGGAAGGGACAAACTGCTTCCAGCCACAGGGGATGTGGGGAGAAGAGATGAACTCTGCAAAGACATGGGCCAGGTCATCCTTTCCTCACCCACTCCTCCCTTGAGGCTGGAAACAGCTCACATCCCTTCCCTCTCGCACAGTGCCGAAAGGCTGCTGCTGGCCACATTCTTACCCTGCGTGTCCTCCTTTCCTCCCCACACACACACGTTTTGCCTCGGGAAGATGCGGTGCCAGGTATCCGGAGAGCCGGGTCCGTCCCAGGGGCCCAGCCAGGCATGTAGGGAAGAGAGCGCTGGGCAGGAAGGGTTTGGTCGGTCACCCCCCTGTGTGAGAGAGGGGTACAGGAGTGTGTGTGTGTGTGTGTGTGTGACATCCCTCCCCATGTGAACCCTAAAGCCTTAAAGAAGGTAAATAAAAAGAATCCAACTACGCAGTATTTCTTTTTAACAGGGGCTTTGTCAATTCGATGTTAATTTTAACATTTGTACTGCATAGTTCTGATTGATTGCCATTGAACTTGCTTGAATATGAGTAAGTTTACCTGGTGTCCCATAGTCAGTATTGGGAAATATGGTCACCCTAACCCCAGCCTCATTTCTTGCAGAAGTTGGGAAGTGTGTAGTGAATGAGACAGGATTGCAGGAAGAAAAAGGAGGGCCTTCTGGTTAAGGGAGCTGATTGCTGCTCTGGTGAATTGGATTTTATCCCAGCCTCTGCCTCAGAGTTCCTAGGTGATGCTGGACAAATCACTTAAACCAAACTTTTCACAGTGGTCACTAATTGTGTGTTCCTCATTTTCTGGCTGCCTGACTTCAGACCCTGGGGTCTGGTTTACAGAAGTGTTGAGCATTCACAGCTGCAACTGAAGTCAATGGGAGTTGTGCTTGGAAGTTATAAGGTACTATATGATGCTAAGTACTCTGAAAAATAGTTCATAGGTATCTCAAATTGGGCATCCAAAATTAATGGATACTTTTGACTTTAATCTCTCTGTGCCTCAGAGAATAAGGCTTGGTCTACACTAAACCCCCAAATCGAACTAAGGTACGCAACTTCAGCTACGTGAATAATGTAGCTGAAGTTCGAAGTACCTTAGTTCGAACTTACCTCGGTCCACACGCGGCAGGCAGGCTCCCCCGTCGACTCCGCGGTACTCCTCTCATCTAGCTGGAGTACCGCAGTCGACGGCGAGCACTTCCTGGTTCGACTTATCGCGTCCAGACAAGACGCGATAAGTCGAACCCAGAACTTCGATTGCCAGCCGCCGAACTACCGGGTAAGTGTAGACATACCCTAAAAGGGAGATAATACCAAGGGTTTTGTGAGGCTAGAACCATTCTGTGCACTGACTGAGGCAGGACTCCTGTGGAAACAACAGTATATGATAACGTAATTAAAAACTGTCTTGTAATACATACACACAAGGGAGCCTAATTAAGGTTGCACAGAACCTTAATTCTGACATTTCCTATGTTTTGAATTCAAATCATATGACTTCCCCATTCCGGCTGCCTGGGTGCCAATAGGGGTGTCACTGGAAGCACAGGAGAGACCAGTTCCCTCCTCTCATTTTCAGTGTCAGGCCCTACACTGGCCCTGAACAGCTGGGGCAGACCTTACAGGGAATGTACTTCTGAGACACTGCCACCCTAGGCACAAGCACGATCACTTGCTCTTTGGGAGTTCAAAGAAATCATTTCAAAGAAAAGATTACCAGGGTTAAACAATGTATTTTCCCCTAGTCTCAGTCTTAGAAACATCTGGACCATTTGGGCTGAAATTTTGCAAAACTATTCAACCTGAGGCAGACACTTGACATGGAAAATTTCAGCCCAAACACTTACAGTTTGGGAAAGTTATAAGCAATTAAAAAGTAAGATCTTATAATGGGAAGTGCCAGGCAACCTTAATAAGCAGTGCTACCAGCCCCACATGTAGTATAGGGTCCTCATAATCAGGACCGCCTCCTAATTCTCTTCTGGGCTCTATCACTGACTTGCTGGCCTATGCCATAGTTTGCCACTCTCTTGGATCATACTGTCCTAGTTACAGACAGCAGAACTGCCTAAGCTGGACGCCTCTTCTGCATGAAAGAGGGGTTGGTGTTGGTAGGACATGCTTTGAGAGAGTCCTCAGCTTTTGAATTCACTCTCCTGCATGGTGAGGAATAGTCCATATGTTGACCTTGAGGTAAATCTTGAGGCATGCCCTCTTTACTCAGGCTTTACTCTCTCTCCTGGAGAGAAAGGAATGTGATAAGGGCTGACAGTATTGTAAGGATGTTATAGTTATTTCTGTGGTTATTTTCGGGTTTGGGGGAGGCTGTTTTTTGGCTGTATTTTTAAAATGGTCTTTTTGTTTTAAATTATTTAAATTATTATTTAAATTACAAAGCCAAATAAATCTATAAAATGGCTAGAATAGTACTTCCCTACCTCAAAGTGTTGTGAGACTTAATTTATATTCATAAAGCTCTTTGAGATCCTTGAATGAAGATGCTATTGCTGCCTAGATTTTAAGGTGATAGACCCGTTAGAATTGTGTTGGCTATATAAATCATTGAGTTGATTCATGGGTCCACAAATACAGAGGCAGTTGCAGGATCCACATTACTTACCAGAAATTAAAATAGTAGGCCTTGTAAGATGCAAGGATTTGTTCATTGATCTTATTTATTTGAAATAGAATGCATAGATTAGAATGATGAGCACGTAAAGTATTATTAGCTGGCAGGAAAGGAAGAGAGATGTATCTTTGTTATTTTTACTCTAAGGAAATGCTCAAATACTATGGTGTTGGGCACTGATATCAGAACCTCGAAGGATGGACAGATAGATAGGGACATACATAGATCTTATCTCCTGAGAATTCTCTTAGGATACTGAAGAGAAAAATTCAGTGTTCTACTCTTCATTCCTGGAAGGAAGTTAATTTTTCTCTTGGACCATCTATACAACATTTTTGTTTTATACAGTTCCTTACATGTGTTTTGTATCTCAGCCAGAAGTAAAACCCGTAATTTAATACTTTTTTTTATTGAACATCATAATAAATGTTGAACAAGACTTGCAGAATAATGGCACAACTAAACCTAATCCCAGAATGGACATTTGAAAAGAGTTTGGATTCCAAGTGGTATAATTTACAAAAGTTGATGAAACATATTCAGTTGTTTAAGAATGAAGCAAACTTTGATGATGATAGCTGGTGTTATGAGTTCAGCAGTTAAATCTGTAGAATAGTTACTGAGAAAGGTCATCTTTACTTAATCCATATTACTTCATATTCTTGGGGTTTTTTGTTTTGTTTTTTACTCCAGACCCATCTGCTCCACCAGCCCCAGCTAATCTCAGAATTGCCAACTCCACTACAAATAATGATGGAAGTGTAACTGTAAGGATTATTTGGGATCTCCCAGAAGAACCTGATATCCCAGTTCATCACTACAAAGTCTTTTGGAGCTGGACAGTCAGCAGCAAGTCTGTCATCCCAGCTAAGAAGAAAAGAAGGAAGACTACTGATGGGGTAAGGAACAAACTGGAAAATGAGGCACAAATGCTCCTAATCAGTCATGGCATATTAAAACATATTTCTGGTTTAAAAAACAAAATTGCGCTGTACCAAATAAATGTGAAGTCACATAAATAAATAGGATGGAAAGGTGTATTCCTTTTAATTTTCAAGAAGATCACTGATAGTTTTATAGCCAGGTTTGCTTTTAGAAATAAGCATTGTTATTGTTCTGTAGATGCTCATTGAAGTCCAAGAGAGGAGCAAGTGCTGATTGACAGCAGAATTGAACCATATATACAGATGGAAATATTTTAAGAGTCTAAATCCAGATAAACTAGAATCTATTGTAGATGTACAATTAATATATAAAACTACTTATTTCTCTAACATAAGGCTTATTTTACTGGAAGCCTCTGAATGATGGAATGCTCATTTAATAAAATGTCATATATAGCATAGTTCTTTCATTATATCAAGGGATCTCTGATATGTTTGCTCATATCAGGGTCATTTCTGATGGATTAGTTACCATGTAGGTCCAAGATAATAACAAAATCCTTCTTAAATAATCCTACTGTACCAATGCACTGAAATATTTCCATAGGAGAAGATTTGAATTGATATGTAACACATTGGTTTAATGAAAAACTAGCTGCCGTGATCCCCTTAGGCACATTGCATTTTCTTTTTATAATAGCTTAATAGGTAATAGAAATAGAAACAATTAAAGGCCATGGGCCAGACTCTTGTCTTAGTTACATTAAGAGCAATATACTAGCAATATATTACAGTCCTGATTCTCCACTACATCTGAGAACTTAGTGCAGAGTGTTGGGCCACAGGGAGGTGATTTCAGCTCTCTGATCCTCAGCCACCTGGCCCTAGTGGAAGTGAGAGCAGCAGGGGGCCTACTCTAATTTCCGCTATGACAGGATCAGGCATAATGGAGCTCTGTTCCCTGGAATCACTCCCTGGAACACCATTGACACATGCCCCAGTCCCCTCATGCAAATTGGGGGGCACCAGAGTTCCACCAGCAGAGAGTTCCCCTATGCAAGGGCAGTTCACTAGCTATTTCTAGCCATGTTTTACATGACATAAAGTGGACTTAGTGGACCAGAGACTCTGGTTTTATGTGTTATTCTTCAATTCAAAGCCCCATGGTAAAAACACCTAGAAAGGGAGGGTAGCATTCCAGGGTATCTCTGCTGTCTTAGAACCACTGTGTATTCCACTGGGTGACACAGGAGTAGAGCTGGCATATAAAAGGCTGGTAGTGAAGTCTGCAGTTTCCAGGTAAAGTACTATAGGTCAGAGATCTTCAACCAAAGAGGCCCCAATCCCATGGATCCCTAGCCAGGTATGTAGTGAGGCTGTCCTTTAAATCACAAAATGAAGGAAATTTGAAATAGAACTGGATCCTTAGTGTTATTTTAATTAAAACCACTTTAGATGTATGAGTAGGAAGTATATTACATCAAGATGTTTTAAGAACGGATAATAAATAATACCTTGCTCTTATATAGCACTCTTCATCAGTAGATCCAAAAGCACTTTACAAAGGATTAAGTATTATTATCTCAGTTTTCCATCATACAAGGTGACATGTTTTTGTTAGTAGAGCCGTGTTCTGGCCGTCATATACGTTCACAGCTATCATTGAAGCCTATGACAACCAAACACATTCATCCAAAAACAGAGATTAGCCCCTACAATACCTCTGCAGAGAGGTATCTCATTGTGCTTTTTTCTTTTACAGCATACTGTGAAAGCTATAAAGTGATAGTAGTAAAGGGGAACATTCGATGATGGAACTCCACTGAAGTCAGTTCTAATCAATGACCCATTAAATATTAGAACAACTTTTCTAAAAAACAAAATTGCACATTTCCAGGGATGGAGAGATGTATTCCTCTGATTTGACAATATCACTCTGAAACTTTTTAACCAGTTTTGCTTTTAGAAGTGATCCAGTCCATGCTTTTATGATTACATCTATATGAAGTCAGTGGAGTTGCCAGTAGAGAATTTGGCCTACAGTATTTAAAAATGAAGAGTGCCACCACATGAACTGGGGAAATCAAGAGGCTTAATCAATTTTATATCAATCTCTGAACAAACCAAGTAATGATTGTTAATTTTCAGTACTTTTAGTTAGTACTAACATACTATTTGGTGTTAAATATGACACTGCATAGTTGACACGCCACTCCTAGTTGACACAAGAAAGCTAGAGAAGTAACAAGGAATTCAGAATAAAAACACAGAGTAAAATTTGTGCCTGACGAAATATACAATGGGTGCATTTTTAGGAATAAGTCTATAAAAAAAATGGAAAGAATTCAGAAAGGCTATGTCTCTTGTTTGCAGTCTTATGGGAATTGATCTACTTTGTGGATTGTTAACTAGAGAATGAAAATCCAGTTCATGTGCCTCTCCATGCGGTGACATTGGAGAACTGAGTTGTTGTTGGGTTTTTTGTTTGTTTGTTTCTTTTCTTTCTATAACAAAGATGAAAAGTACTCTTGTTGGTATTTTAGCAACAGAAGCAAATAGAAAAATATTGTTCAATATACTGCACAGTATGTTCTATCTGTCCTCGGACTAGCTGTCTCTAGACAAAGCTTCCTGTTGCTTAGCTAATCAAGTCTGTCCAGGAGCTGGGAAACACAAAGTTTAGATTTCACTGGCCAAATTCTTTTTGGCATCAGAAAAACTTGTTATACATATAAAAAGAAATTTAGTCTTGGCTTAAACAGCTGATGCCTGTATTTACGAAAGACAGACAAGTTCTGTAGACATCACTAAGTTTAGCATTTTCAAAACAACACAGCAAAACGGAGTCCAAATGAAAGAAAGCATGAAATAAAAATCAAAGAAGAAAGCAAGTTGAGTTCTGGTGAAATTTATAAATAATTCTTTCTCATTCCAACAAGAGTTTTGTGTGCCTAAGACAATAGGCCTGCTTTTAATTTAATACGAGCCAGTGTTTCAGTGATCCCATAACTGTTCTGCGTGTATATTCTCTTTCATTATAGTCCCAAAATTATGTGGTCCTGGAAGGACTGCAACCCAACAGCAACTACATGGTAGAACTGCAGGCAGTAACATACTGGGGACAAGTACGACTGAAAAGCGCCAAGGTGTCTCTCTATTTCAGCTCAACTCAAACAACTGTTAATAGTAAGTAACTGCATCCAATTCCTCTTACGGTCTGTTTTAACTGATGATTTCTCCGATTTAAAACAAACAAACAAAAAAACACCCATTATAGGTGGCTGTATAATAGCATGACTCCGTGGTCTTGGGCAAGTCACTTAACTTTTCTGTCTTCGTTTCCTCATCTGTAAATTGGGGCTATAAATCTTATCTACCTCACCTGTTTTGAAAATTACTTAAAAAAATAAACATGTTAAGCATGTGCATATTTGCAAGATCAGAGTCATAGTATTATATTAGTGATAAAATTCCCCCAAATATACATTAAACTTCCCAATAAATAGAGCAGAAGCAAATCCCAGACCACTGGCTTAATGGTACAATTTTCCCTTGCAAAAGTTTTTAAAATGTTGGCAACTTCAAGTAGCCCATAAATTCAGATCTTAGTCCAAATTTATATATCCTGTGGATTCGGACAAAGGATTGATTTTCCTACTAAGATCTTAAAATATTAAAACTGTGTGTCCCTGGTTGACAAGAAGTTAATCACAAACTTGTATCACATGCACAGCACCTACCTTCAAGATGAAGTCTTAAGGTATTAAGTTCTTTCTTAAACTAAACTCACATGCTAAACAATACAGTGGAAAATTCTTTAAATCCCGGGGGGCCTATACTGTGACACTCAAACGTAGTTAAAAACTCTTTGAATAATAATTTGTCTAAGGTCAAGGTCACGATTGATCTGCCCTTCCTACTGCTGATGTGTCATCTGATTAACCAAATACAACCACTGATGCTTATGACAGTAATAGTTTTCAGGATTAGAGCACAAACAGTTTCCAAAGTTTGCCATTTTACCCATCTTTGCTCTTCCCATCTTTCATTCCTTTTGCATTAGTTTCCCTTTTATGTTATAAGCAAAATTAAAATTAATCGCAACAGTTTTTCTAACTCTTATATCATTCTGTATTCCAGTACTGAATATTCTGAGTGCTAATGTAGTTGGACCGCTCAGCAAGCACGTTCAGTCTGTTTTGGATACAAATAAGATATATTCTATATATACCTAGATATAAAAGTTGACAAATATGCAAAAAAACCCATTATAAACAATGGTGCTTTTGTTTTCCTGAAGCAGGAGGGAGAGACGGAATTGAGTTTCCTTCCCCCTCCGCCTGCAACACACATACATTATTTTTATACGAAATGAGTCAGTTACATTTGGATATACCCCAAAGCATTATTTTGCTATCTTTCTCCAAGCCCTCAGGCTAGATCTGTTTACAGAAGTGTCATTGCTGTGAGTACAAGTAAGTTGTGCTTGGTGTGTGTGTAGGTGGATGGGTGAGAGGAAAGGTTGAAAAATTGTTCGGCAGCCCCCAGAACTGCCAGTCCCAAGCTTTCAAAAATTATATGACAGGCTATAAAAAAAATGAGATTATTTTAAAAACCATAAGATTAATAGAAATTATTTGGGGCGGGGGGCGTTTTTTCCTTTCTGTTTTTTGAGCTGTTAGAGTTCATGGTTTTTAAGCTTTTCTCCGCAACTATGAAGGTTAGAAACTTACACCGAGATCCTCAAAGGCATTTGGGTGCCTAACTCCCATTGAAATCAATGCCTTTGAGACCTGGGCCTTACTTTTTTAAAAAACGAAAGCAGAGATTCTCACATAATATTATGATTCTAAGGCTTTTTAAAGAAAATCAACAAATATTGTGAGACTTGCCATAAAATCATGAGAACAGGCAATACTGAAACATACGAAAATGCTTAGGCTGACTTTGGATGAAGTTTCAAAAGCACTGCAAATTAAGGGCTTAGTCCTTCTCCCATTGAATTCAGTGGGACTTTTACCATTTATTTTCATGGGAACAGAATCAGCCCAGAATTTGTCAGCAAAATCTCTTTACTGGTTATACAGATTGTAGTAACAGATCACAAAACTGGGTAGTTCAAACATAAGCAGAGCTATTGCTTGTCTTATAGCAAAGGCATGAATGCAGAACTGAAAAGGCCAAATGCTCTGAATTATTGTGCTATCTGTCCCCTGAAGCAAGGCTCAGTGTCAATATTTGATATGAGCAAGAGTCTAAGAAAATATGTAGGGGACTGGCAATGTGTTATTGAAACATTTCACAATTCATCATCATCATAGTGAAATTCTGGTTAAAAATGATTTTAAAATTAACCCCAACTATGCAAGACTTAGCAGATCTGTTGCAGATAATAAGTAGATTTTGATCATAAAACTAATCAAATGAGTTTGAATTAAAGTAAAAACTTCATAGAACAGTGTTAACCATGTAAACTATAGACACAATGATACATGATCAAGTGATTAGAATACTGAATTGAGATCAGGGACTAAAAGTCCTGTCCTTGGATACTGGCTCACTGAGTGACTTTGCACAAGAAACTTCTTTCCTCATCTATAAAATGGGGATAATAACATCTACTTTTCTACTTCAGAGGGGTCTTGTTAGTCAGTTATTTTTCATAAGAACTTTGAGGTTCTTTGATGAAAGTTGGTATATCAGTGCTATGAATTAGTATTTAATGTTGTTATTAGATAGTTTTCAGCATAGTCACTGGGCAGATTGTGATCTCTCTTCCATTGGTGTAAATCTAGAGAATCTCCTTTTTGTTTGGTGGATCGTCTTCTGGATTCAGACTGGTTTCACTAACGTCAGAATCTGGCTCACTGTTTTGGGCACTGTGATGCTGCAGCACCAGTACCCAAAAGTGCCCCTAGAGTCTGTGTAGCACTGAGCCTCTGCACTCTCACTGCTGAGTTCACTAGCAGGTCATGTTGCTGAGAAGGAAGGAAAGGGGAATGTTTGCTTCACTTTCCTTTTTTACCCTCTGACACTTTTCTGCTTCCAGACTCCAATGCAGATCATATTTGACTTACAAAATCTTTACCAACAGGGGTTCATTTATTCTAAACTGCATATGTGAGTTGTGTGGTTTCATCAATTACTGTTCACTTCAATGGAACTCATCACCACAACTAACTTTAAATTCTCTTCTACAGTTTCTTTGGGATAGTCTGATCTCTCCTTGACTCCTTTACCCTCTATAGCTTCAGAAAATAGACTGGATTATATTTATGTGAAGTCTGCTATCTACCTCATCTCTGACTGCTTTTTGCTCATGATCGGTTTAATATTACTTTGGTGAATTTTTAGGCTATTGCTTTGACTGTTTTTTTAGGGTTTTTTAAATCCAAGTACATGACTGAGCTATACTTCTGGTTGGTCTCAAACCTCTGTTATTTTCTTTAGTAGATTTGCATGCAAATATTCAAGAACATTAATTTAATTAAAGCCTGTGATTTCATTTTGACAACAAATCAATTCAATTCACTTTGATTCACAACTCTTTGTTCATTTTTTCATGAATAGTTGCATAAACAGCTTGCGTGCACGTGTGTGTGAGGATATTCACAGAAAGCTAAATATTGCATGAATATTATGATAGTGTTAGCTGTTATTTATTCATTAGTGACTTCAATGGAGCTACATCAATTTGCATCAACTGAGAATCTAGCCCAGAGATTTTTGCAGTGCTTAAGTATACATAATTTATAGATTGTACTATATATTGTAGTTGCTGTTGTGTATGAAAGTAATCAGTATGGAAAATGCCAGAAAAATATCCATTCCAGACCATTTATTCTCACACTATAAAGTGATCTAGCATACACCATTGTATATGATATTCAAAGCCTCTATAATTTGGTTGTCAGCATTATTTTTCCTTCCTGTTGTTTGTTAGTGTTCTACTCTAAATTCACTCAGAAGAGGTAAATGAAGATTGGATGAAATATCAAGATTGGATGTTTTTTTTCTAAAATATATTCTCTAGGAATTATTTTGGAGACATTCTATGGTCTGTGTTATACAGGAGGTCAGACTAGATCAGGGGTCGGCAACCTTTCAGAAGTGGTATGCCGAGTCTTCATTTATTCACTCTAATTTAAGGTTTGGCGTGCCAGTAATACATTTTAACGTGTTTAGAAGGTCTCTTTCTATAAGTCTATAATATTTAACTAAACTATTGTTGTATGTAAAATAAATAAGGTTTTTAAAATGTTTAAGAAGCTTCATTTAAAATTATATTAAAATGCAGAGCCCTCTGGACCTGTGGCCAGAACCTGGGCAGTGTGAGTGCCACTGAAAATCAGCTTGCGTGCCGCCTTTGGCAAGCGTGCCATAGGTTGCCTACCCCTGGACTAGATGATCACAATGCTCCCTTCTAGCCTTGGAATCGATGAATCTAAGAAAGTAGAGCTAAATTTCAGTGGGAATTTGGGGCTTAATTCCCTTAAATTCAGCCTGTGTCCCATTATAGGATATATCACTAGTGCCTGATTCTAAAGGAGATATCATTAATTTTCAGAGTATTTTTGCTAAATAAATATAATTTCTCATTACCAAAGAGACACTTTTCAAGGATACTTAGAGAGATAGGGTGGGTGAGGTAATATCTTTTACTGGACCAAGTTCTGTTGGTCAAAGAGTCAAGCTTTCGCACTACACAGCTCTTTAGCTCTGAAGTTTGTCTTTTTCACTCACAGAAGTTGGTCCAGTAGACAATATTACCTCACCCACCTTGTCTTTCTAACATCATGGGACCAACACTGCAAATAACTTTTCAAGGATGACAAGCCAAATTTTACCTATCATGACATATTGGAGCATGCCTCTGTAACGGGGTGTGTCACTCACCACTGCAGCGCCTCTTACTGGCCAAAAGGCGCTACCCACTGCGGCGCTTTTATTTTACTCACCCGGTGGCGCTCTGGGTCTTCGGTGGCACTTTGGTGGCGGGACCTTCACTCGCTCCGCGGCACTGAAGGACCCGCCACCGAAATGCCGCCGAAGACGCAGAGCGAGTGAAGGGCCCCCCCGCCGCCAAAGACCCGGAGCGCCGCCGGGTGAGTGAAAGCGCCGCAGTGGGCGGCGCCTTTTTTTTTTTTTTTATTGCTCCCCCGTTCCCTCCACCTGGCTACGCCACTGCTTCTTATATGGCCCAGCCTGGCCCTGATTGGCTGTCTCTCTAAACCTTCTCCTGATTGGCTGTCTCTACAAGCCCTTTCCTAATTGGCTGCCTCCTGTGCAGCCTCCCTGGGGCTGCTTTAACCCCTCTTCTGCCAGTGTGGTGCAGACGCCCCACCACAGCCTCCTAATCTTGAAAATCTTTTTGGTTCCACCATTTCAGCTAGATAACCAACTACAGAAAACAAAGGACTTGATCCAAAGCCCAGCAAGGTAATTGAAGTTAATGGAAAGATTCTCATTAACTTCAGTGGGCTTTGGATCAGACCCTAAGGGGTTTCTCCATGCTCAGAAACATATTACCTTATCATTCCACTCTGCTTGTCTGTTTCATTCTTGTGAAACATACAACATGAATACCTCCTTCTGAAGTGATAGATATGTAGGGATTGTCTTATTCAAACCCCTGATTGTTCCCAAGAATGGACAGATCAATAGGGGGAAGAACAGGACATGCACCTGTAAACCAAAACACACCCTATGGGTCCAATTTTTGTTTTTCCTTCTTTGTATCACTTTACAACCCGCTTATAATTTGTCATGATAAAGTCACACTATAGACATTTGTGTGTGTGTGTAAAGAATAAAATTATCCACATTTGGTGATTGCTTGATTTTTCTTAAAAGAAGGACAGGAAGAAGTTGATTAAGGAAAGGAACGAGGCACTATAACTTATTTGATGAACATTAAGCAATTGGTGCTTTAGTTGAAACTAGTTGTAAATAAGGCAGAACCTTCACATTTACATTTTATCCAATTATTTTAATGAATAAATCAAACCTGAGTCTCCTCTCCTTTCTTTGCAATATATTGTTGATTCCTCGGCAGCTTCTTGATCATTTGCATCTTTACTTTCCATTCAAGTACTGTAATTAATTAAATACATTGTGTTTCATAATCAGATGTAAAAATTGTCCCCTAAATGGAATCTACAAGTTTCAGGTTGTGAAAGTGCTGATTCAAAGCTTGGATACAATACTACTGTTTTTTTTAAACTGAGGATGCCTGGGGTATATTCAAATTCTGTTCCTAAATACTGACATATGTTAGTAAGCTGTTTCAATATACCAAAGGCATATTTATTTCAACGTAGCACCCACACCCTGTAAGTTACACTGTATATTGTATTAAACCAAGATATTTCTTGATGGTGTTGTATGTTGTAGAAGAACAGACCTCTCCAATTGGGAAAACCCGGAAAGGACTAGCTGATCCTCTTCCACCCTTTCAAAGAAGGAGACCGGCTCGTCTTCTTGAAATTGGAGCTCCTTTCTATCAAGATAATCAGCTTCAGGTCAAAGTCTACTGGAAGAAGACAGAAGGTTTGTTGAAAGTTCTCTCTTTAAGCAGGGACTACCATGAACCCATCTATGTCAGAGGTGGAGAAGCTCTAACACTGATATATTTACAGTGAAACCCATTAAGCAGTTCTGCCCCCAAAATATCCTATTTGTTTGGCAAGCCCAAATACAGAGGAACCACTGCTTATCTGTTCTTCCAGGGGGAGCCTGGATGGTAAGAGGATACACAGAGAAATGCACATCTCCTGTGCTTTGAGGAGCAGTGCTCTGTGAGGGTATATAAGGAAGGGCTTTAGGATACAGGCTGGGGGGAGGCGATGCGTTGTGAGAGGAAAAGTGATGACTTGGATCTAGTGGGCAGTAATAGCAAGGGAATTGAAGTACAAGTGTGGAACACATGTACTCAGGGGCACTGGAACCTGCTTTTTAACATGAGCATAGTGGGGGGAGCAGGGGGCCACATTGCCCCCTCAAACTGCTAGCCTCAATGGCACCATGGGGGAGCTGATAAGATGATCCACTTCCCCACCGTGAAGCACAGCCCCTGCCAGCAACACTAGCTTTTTCCCGGGGGCGGGGAACGGGGACAGGGGCTGAGGTGGGCTTTAGTCCTCCCTCGCCACGAGTCCTGGCCCCACACCATGGCCCCACCCCTGTTCCTCATCTTGCCCCCTGGCCAAGCCGGAAGCCAGATCTGGGCAGTAATAAGAGCTGCCCAGCTCTGACTTCCGGCCTGGCCAGGGGGCAGGGTCTTGGGGGGAAGAAGAGGAGTAGGGGGTGGGGCCACAGAGATGGGCGGGCCTTGTGCCTCCTTCTCCCCCCCCATTGCCCCCCCCCCCAAGGTTCGGGCACTCCTGCATATACTCCCCATCCTGAGGGTGCGGGGAGGATTCCACACCCCCTTAAAGTGCCCTCTGTAAGATTTTGTGCAGGGGGGTAGAATTTGGCCTTATGCAAAACTCCCATTGAAGTAGATAGTAGTTTGGTTGAGTGAGGCCCAAAGAGCTCAGTCTGCACGTGGTGTTCCCATTGAAGCCAATGGGACCTCTCTGTAGGACTGGGCCTAATATCAGGATTATAAGAAAGTAAAACCAGGAAATGAATGTAAATGGAGATACAATAGGGCTTTCTGGCTGCCCTGCCTATGCCCATTTTCTAGCCTGCCTCCACCTAAGTTTGGGACTGTGCTGATTGCCAGCAGGGGTCATGCACCAGGATCCAACACAATACCTGCCAACATAGGTGCCGGAGTAAATGTGGGTGAACAATACATCCTGATAGCAGGAAAAATCTTTACAGTGGGCTGGCTTCATGTGTTTTATGATCCCCTGCTTCTCAGTAAATATAGTGCCTAACAACTTTTTTTTATGTTTTTATCTTTCCTAAAAGACAAATGCCATAAAATGTAAGTGTCTAATTAGGTTTGGAAGCCAAAAAGGGCTTAGCCTTCACTGCCTTCCAGAATCAAGTAGGGATTGTGATGGTTAAAATTATCTTCCTGACCTGCAAGTGTGATCATGGCTCCCTCTTCTTCACCACAGCAGATTCAAGCGTCTTGTCTGTCAGGGATGCCTATGAATTTATATCTTAGTATTTAAAATAAACAAATAATGGCTTTAAACAATCTATTCCGCCCACAGCAAGATTATGTAACTGTATATGCTTATCACTGTTACCGTTGTCCTCGCTCTGATAATTATAATCACTCATTGTTTTTAAAATTAGACTGAAAGTTCTTTGGGGGGGCAGGGACTCGGTCTTGGTTTGCAGTTACACAGGGCCCACTATGATAATGCCTTACTCCTGAATGGCCTCTGCTACTTTAATATAAATAACAATGAAAAGAGTTGAAGAAATCATGCTCATGTCCATCCCTAAAAGACCTGAAATGGAACACAAGGTGTAATGAAACATTAAAGTATAGATGAAAAGTTTTCTACTTCCCCCTCAAAACTCTATATTGTTTTTGGGTGCGTGTTTTTTTTTTATTCTAAATCTAACATTTTACTTTAATCAAGTAGCATAACAAAGTCAGTAAAAATAAAGGTCTCATGACTTCTTTAACAAGAATTTTGATCTTAGTACTGACGTCTTGGCCAGATAACAACTAAGAAAGGAAATCTACCACGGCAGTTGCAAGTGGTTGTGGTATTCTTCTTCACTTATTGTCATGAGTGGTTGTGAAGTGTTGCGGTGAACTATATTAAACAGCTCTCATGCTCCAAACCAGAAATGATTGTGTTTTAATGATGGATGAAGTGGCTACTCTAGAGGGTGCTTTGTGGATCCTTTGAATTGAAAGACAGTTAAACGGACGTAAAAAATTGGTATAAAGACTATTTTTATCTGTAATAAACCATTTTATTTTTAATAAATAATTACATTAAATCTTCTCTCAATAAAACTTTAAACAATGAAATGTTGTTCATGTACTATATTAATAATCATTAAGAAATTGTTTTTGTATACGTGTTTACAATGAGCTAGATCATTCTGCTGCACAGGTTACTCATGTGTAGATGCGGGGAAACCACAGCTTTAGACTTGTGAAGTTTCCTTGGATTTCTGTCTGGAAACCAGGTTTATCCTTCAACCATGGATCTATCCATCTAAGAGTTTCTACTGCTGCCCATGACTGTAGTATCTGAGTACCTTCTATGTGAAATAGCTTAGCAACAGTAGAGTCCCTACTGGTTTTTATAGAGTCTCTGGCTCGTCTCCCTTCTTAGGATTGTTTTTTGGTTGATTTGTTTATTTCAGGTCTTTTTGTTTTGTCTTTGAATTTTGGATTTGTTGTTGTTGTTGTTCCCCCGGGGGAAAGGCTAGATGGGGGTGCTGATGTTGAGAAAATTGTTTTTATGAATGGTAGGGGTTTTCACTCTAGGCCTGTGGTTTCCTGGAGGCACGGGCCATCCACACAGAGACCCTCTAACTTACTGCAAAAATCTGGAGTATTTTAAGGAAATATGGTGATGTTGTTGCAGCTGTCCCTGCAACCCCAAACCAGCACACCATAACCCCACACAGAAAACCTATATCCCTCTGTGGCACTTTCAAAAGAGTCTCTGTGGGCCAAGGGAAGAGAGGAATGATGCAATGAAGACTGCACAGCCTCCTTCCACAACCTGACTTCTGTTCTGTCCATTCCAGGAAGTGTAGGGGATAATACAATACATTATTTTACAATACATTTATTTATGGCTTTACTACACCCTCCAATACATATTTCTATTTATGATTGAGTAGACTTTCAGAGCATCTAATTATATATATATGCATGCCAATGAATGCCACAGGTTGGAAGGCCAGATTGACTTCGCTGGGCTCAATCTTCTCTTCTTTATGGGCCTCATTCTGAATGTTCCATTAATATCACTGAACTTGGGGCATGCAAGCAATGTAGGATCTGGTCTTCTGTGTTAAAATAATATTCAGGCTGAATGCTGTTTTATGATGGCAATTATACATGCACTTCAGGATGTGTGTTAATGGGAATAACTCCACACCTCGAGTTATGCAAAGCATTTAGCAAACACACATCATTTTACCCAGCATAATTATCACAAAAGTATATAGTAATTAGACAGATACAATGGTTTCTTGTTCAGAAGAAAAACATGCCTTTCATTTCCTCCATTGGACACAGGACTGGGATTAGAGAAACACTGTACATTCCATAAGTAGCATGAATTCAAATTTTATCAATGAAAAGAAGAACTTGCTTGTGGTTGGATTTTCTGGCCATCTTGACTGTGTGAAATTAGAAATTATGTGCTATTTATGTAAGGCAGTGGAACCAAGTCAAACAAATCACTTTTAACTCCTTGGCGCTGGGAGCTGGAGAGTCAGAGAGTAAAATCTGTTGCCAGGAACGGATGCATTCTGAATCTCTAACCTAAAAGGATTAGCTGCTTATGACAATTAAGGTCCTAAAAAAATCTTGTGCAATAATCAAGACTGAAACTGCAAAAATAAAAGGCTTCTCATGTTTCCCCTGCCCCACAGCAATTTGGTGACTAGGAAGCTGGGGTTTTGGACTTTGGCTGAGAAGCCTTCAAGTTCCTCCAATATTAAATACCCTTGGGGGATTTAAATGAGATGTTTCCCATGGAATCAAAAAAGAGGAACTTTATTCTCTATAGATCAGTGGTTTTCAAACTTTTTGTATTTGTGACCCCGTTCACACAGCAAGCCTCTGAGTGTGATTCTCCCCTTATACATTAAAAATGGGGGGTGGGGGAGAATAATTTAATTTAATGGGGGCTGGGAGCTGTCAGCTCTCAACCTCCATGTAACCACCTTGTGACCGACCCCCTGAAGGATCACAAGCCCCAGTTGAAGAACCCCTGCTATAGATGTACTTCAATCATTCTCGTCACTTACTGCAGTAATTCTCATCAGTGAGAATAACGTACTGTAATTTAGTGTGATGATTTCCTTCCAATGCAAAATCTCACAGTACTGTGTCCTAAACCCATTGCTGCAACACAATTGATGTTTTAGTGGCTCTTATTTAGGGATAATACAGCTATTCTTACTTAGGCAAACTCCCATTCAATCAGTATTCTGCCTGAGTCATGACTATAGCATTTGGCCCATATTAAACATCATTTTATTGAGTTCATCAGTGTTTCCACTTAATGTTGAATTGTTTGCCCCTTGCTTTTGCTTGAAAGTATAGATGTTTAAAAAATATTTGTATTTGGCTTCAGATTTGATTCTTTGCTTTAATACTTACCAGAAATGCAAAGGAAAGAATGTCTTAAACAGGGATTGAAGCAAGGAGGGGCAAAGACTCTATCCTGCACTGTCTGATAAATGAACAGGAATAATCAATTAAATTACAGAGAAGAATAAAACATAGGGCAAGGCAAAGCAGATAGAAAGCTGCCACAAAAGCTTTTACAACCAGATCTTTGGAAAACAAAACTAGCTCTTTCTTAGTGCGGGAAGATAAATGAAGTGACTGTTTGCACAGACTGTTTGTTTGTAACAGGTCGTTTTCATCCTGCAAGGTTAAA